TCCGTTCCTGAAAAGCCTTCAAACCTAGCATCGCCTGTTCTTTTACATGACTGGCAGCACGGTGTGTACGATCAACACACGCCGTAGCACCAACATCACCACAAACTCGTAAGTGATTCATTGTTCTAGGACATTATGACGGCAACAATGTCACTAGGTGACAGGAATTTTCTTTTTGTAGAGGTTTTTGTCTGAAGGTGTGTGAACTTGTCAGAGAGAGAGAGACAGCGAGAGGGAAAGCGAGGGGCCAGCAGGTGGCGTGGTGGTCAAGAGTGCTAGACTCCCACATGGCTGACCACAGTTTAACTTCTGGACCTGGCAGGTTGCTTTCTCACTTTTGCTCTCTGCTTGAACTAGAAAATGACAATAATAATAAATAAAGTTAAATCATTATTTTATTTTTTTTTAAGAGGGAAAATGAGAAATCGCCCACTGGGGGGATGGCCATGCCACAATCCCTTCTACTCCATTCTCCTCCTGGGATCTTGGGGATGGACCCACACATGTTCCCTCAGTGTGAGTTCAACATCAACAGGTCTGGGACTTGAACCACGGTTGGCCATGTGGAAGTCCAGCAACATACCCACTATGCCATCTGCTGACCCTGGGCTTTTTTTTTTTTTTACGTTAGTTTTTGCTATAGGGCACGTGCACTCGCCAGAGAGAGAGAGGATAAGAGGAGTGGGAAAACACTCCCCAAGGAGGGATTGTTATGTCACAATTCTTTCTCCTACACTCTCCTCTTGAGATTTTGGGCATGTACACATACATGCCTGGTGTCATTCTCAAACTCCTGGGTCAAGGACTTGAACCACAAAGCTCACCATGTAGGATCCAGCCATGTTAACCTCCATACCACCTGCTTGTCTAGTGATAGGAATTTTTCAGCTCCTTTATAATCTTATGGAACCACGGTAGTATAGACAGTGTGTTGTTTCCCGAAGAGTTGTTATGTAGTGTGTAACTTGTGTGCAGGTATATGTATTATACACACAGAAAAGAGGTACGCAACAGGTGAAAAAGCAATTAAAAACACACAATAGCTATTAGAGAGAATCCTTTGGGATTTCCAGGCAGACAGAGGGGTTAGTTGCTTCCTTCAGTTTGTAGGTCTGATGACCTCATACAGGTCTTCAAAAGTTTATAGGTGGGACCAGCAGTTGGCATAATGGCTATGTTGCTGGACTATCATGTAGTCGACCACAGTTCGAGCCCCAGACCCGGTGGCTTAAACTCATGCCAATGCCAAGATCCCCAGACGAAAATGGAGGAGAAGGGATTGTGGTATGGCCATTCGGTGATTTCTCACTTTCTGTCTGTCTCTGTCTTTCTGGAGAGTGCATGCACCCTATAGCAAAAACCTCTCCAAAAAAAAAAAAAAGTTTATAGACAATAATCTCTCATAAGGCATATTGCCTATGTATGCATTCAAAATGTTTGTCACCAAAATAAACTCATACTTGAATTCCACTTTTCCATGTTACTTTTGAAGTCCTTTCTTTGTAAGAGTGTATTCCCATCTCCAAGAAGTAGGATTAAGGGAACACTTTTTAGGAGCAATTGCTATATACAGATATAAAGCTCTGTGTGATTAATAGTATCGTTAAGTAAAACGGATGGTAGGTTAGGTACGTTTAAATAATTCACAGCAAACATCTTGTACTTAGATTGGAGTCTTGGTCTGTGCTGAACCATGCCGAGTTGGAAAAGTCTGACTATAACATTCATGCAAGAGTAAGGAGAGAAGGCTTCCAGCCACGAGCAGCCTAATGGAGCCGGTTCTTACCGCAGCGATCTCGGACAACCAGGTTACGGCCTTCCTTCAGGTGGATGGTGAGGAGGTACGCAAAAGGGCTGGGGAGGTTACTCAAGCCATCGCCTGCTTCCCGGAGCGTCTGCAAAGAAGGAGAAGACAGTTAAGTCCCTGGGTCTTAACTGTGTCCCTGGGCCCCCACAAGGACACTTTCAAAGGCATTTCTTTTTCTTTAGTTGTCAGAGGGCTCATGTACCAGAGAGAGAGACAGAGAGAGAAAGAGGGGAAGCTATTACTCTCCAGTGGGGTGTGGTCACACTGCAATCCCATCTCCTATACTTCTCCATCCTATGGGGCATGCACTTACACACCAGGCCACCAGAGCCAGGATTGAAACCATAGGGGGGCATGTGGGATCTGGCTCCCTTAACCAATAGGCCATAGGGCCAGACCTCAGAGATATTTCTAAATTTAATAGGGGAGAATTAGAAAGGTCCCTATTAGGGTCAGTTGTTATCGGCAAGTCCAACCTACTTTAACAATTTGTTTATATTGCTCTACTGACGGGTCCTTTGCATTTCTTCCCAATGGGATTTTTATCAGAATCCAGAGGCTATCATGATTATATCTTTTAAAATGAATTTTCCAAGAATTATGTGTCAGGTCATCGGTAAAGTCATGACATATCCTTCTATGCAAAAATGCATCATGACTTTCCGGGTGATCCAGTAAGTGAGACTGCCCATCTCTGGGCAATCTTTAGACTATCCACTAAAACTCGTGGTGGAGGGACCAGCAGATGGTGTAATGGTTACATCACTGGACTCCCATGTAGTCAACCACAGTTTGAGTCCCAGACCCAGTGGCTTGAAACTCACAACGGGCGCACGTGTGCCCAAGACCCTGAGAGGAAACTGGAGGAGAGAGGATTGCGGCATGGTCATTCCCGCCCCCGGGAGGGAGGGGGTCCCTCGCGTTCTGTCTCTCAGTCTTTCTCTGTGTCTCTGGTTTCTCTGTGTCTCTGCAAGTGCATGTGCCCTACAGCAAACAGCTCTCTTAAATAAAAACAAACAAACAAAAAAACCATGGAGGAAAGAGAGGAACTAGTGAGCAGAAACACATCTGTAGGATGGCTCTGTGGAAGGCTGAAAATACACGCTCACATTCCCCAATTCAGATGTAAAATATCTCTCTTCTCCCCTTTCCCGTCAGCCTCTCCGACTAGACTGGTAGACTTCCTCCCCATGGAAGACAATTTCCATTCTCTACATTCATCTCAAAACCCATGGAGGAAAGAGAGGAACTAGTGAGCAGAAACACATCTGTAGGATGGCTCTGTGGAAGGCTGAAAATACACGCTCACATTCCCCAATTCAGATGTAAAATATCTCTCTTCTCCCCTTTCCCGTCAGCCTCTCCGACTAGACTGGTAGACTTCCTCCCCATGGAAGACAATTTCCATTCTCTACATTCATCTCATCCCTTCTTCACCCCACAGAGCCATCTGACACACGCACCCACTTGTGTCCACAAGGGTACACGCTGTCCAATACCCTCCTAGCTTCCTTAACTTTTTCATCTATTCCCTGGTACCCACTAAGTGTGTCCCCTCCTCTTATCCTCAGTGTCACCTCCCCTCAACTCACTCCCCTCTCCAGGGAAGCACCACTTTGTCCAAGGCAAGTCTATTTTTGAATATTACATGAATTCAAGTCTAGTCTTGAGCCAGTTCAAATGATTGCCTTTCTTCAGAGAGAGAAAGAAAAAGATACAATCGTTTATCATTCTCTTAGTGGACATTCAATTAATCGATCCTATGGCTAAGCCAGGCTTGACAGCCTTCTTTCCCAAGCTTCAAAGCACTTCAAAATGTTTGTCTCATTTGCTATCTAGCTCAGCTTCATCGCGGCATTGTATTTTTAGAGGGATCTATCCCAGTCTGACAAATCAATCGACATTGAATTAATCTCTTCCAGCTAAAATTTGCAAGGCCCATTTCTGTTGGCAGATCTATTTCAGTATTCTTTAGGAATACAAAAGGCAAAGGAAGGGAAGCTCAAACATCTGATGGGAAATGTTGCAATAGTTGCGATAAACACTTCCATGCTGGTTTTTAAGGAACACCACTCACAGATTGTTCTTCAAAATGTTGCGATGTCATAGAGGCATTCAGATCACCACTTCCACACGGCTTCTGTAAATAAAAAGGAAAAAAAAAAAGCTTTAAAAATCAAAAGTGGGACCAGCAGATGGCGTCATGGTTATATGGTTGGACTCCCAACTAGGTGGTCACTGTTTGAGTCCCGTACCCGGCGAGTTAAAACTCATGCTGGGTGTGTGTGCATGCGTGCCTAAAATCCTGAGAGGGGAAGGGAGATGGGATTGAGGCATGACCATCCCCTGGCAGGGGCGGGGGGTAGGGTGTGACTTCACTTTTTCACTTTTTGTCCCTGGTTTTTTCTGTCTCTCTGGCGAGCACACATGTCCACACCCTATAGTAAAAATCTCTCTCTCAAAAATAAAACAATCAAAATATAATCAATCCATAAAGATAGACTCCATCAGGTCTTCCGCTTTGGAAATCTGGTATTTGCATTCCCATTTGCAGGTGAATGGGCTGTCTTCCTCTTTGTGAGGCAAGGACTGGCAATAAGAGGAGGCCTCTGTGACGTGTCTCTGGCTGTGGCCTTGAAGTCATCTGAGTGTAGATAAGGCCAGCGTTGTTCCCTTGCTGGGTCACTTGGGCACCCCTAGTTCATTTGCATGGTTGGATGCAAATAGCTTTGATCCCAAGAAAGGAAATGGAACAGCAGCACCATAGGGCCAGATCCCTCCCTGGACGCGTATGTCTGGCCCCTCAGCTTCCAGAAGTAACTGAGCCACTCAGGCTCCAGAGAACAGAGCATATCAGTCACTACAATGTGTTTCAAAATGAGGCCTTCCTCCATTCAAATGTCACAGGTCTATCAACTGGACAATCATCAATCCCAAACTAGGAAGCTCAAATTCTGAATAAGTTATCTCAGAATGAGTTATGTCTGTTTCCTAACTTAAATATACCTTGTGAACTCAGAAAATGATCCCTCAAGACAATGAATGCAGCCATTAGGAGGAGAGACAGTACATTTTTCATTGTGTCGGCTTGTACATATACAAATAAGAGGCTCCCAAAGGCTCCAAGACTTCATGGGATTTCGGGGATGAAATCTGAGGCCAGCCGCCTTTAGGGACAAATGGAGTGATAGGGACTTGAGTGGACCACCCTCCAGCAACTGGGGTATGTTCCTGTCGGCATTGAACATTAGCTAGAGCTGATTTCTCATGTAAAAACATCAAATTTTCTCCTCCAAAGACGGATAGCTACCGCCAAGGTTATGGGCTTGGGTGAAGACAGGAAGCAGGCCTGCAGAGATCGCTTAAGACACCAAGAACCATTCGAGCATCGAGGGGACCCATCACTGATGACGACACTAGTCTTTCTCATCCCCAACCACCATCAAGGGAGTCTTGAGCACAGTTAAAAGACTCTGCTGGATCATAGGCTGCCTTCCTAGACACTCTCTCTTCTCCAATGGAACTTCATGCAATGAGCAATTGTTCCACCACCAAAAGGGATAGTGAGGTCTTGTAAGCAAGCAAGGGTTCTCTGGCCCATAACTGCATTCGGTGGTAAGATGGGCTAGAGGGCCAGCAGGTGGCATGGTGGTTAAGGTGCTGGACTCTCACATGGCCAACTGCAGTCTGAGTCCTAGACCCAGTGGCTTGCTCTCTGTCAAGCACATGTGCCCTGTAGCACATTTTTAAAAAATAATAATAAAATTAAATACATAATTCTAAAAAAAAAAAAAAAGAAGAAG